TTTCAGGACGCCCGCCTCGTTTGCGACGTGGCGTTCCTCCCCGAGGCTGCCCTTATCGATCGTTTCTTGGCCAGCCTCCCGCTCGAGTACCGCTCTGAGCTATGGCGGTACGAGTTCACATCGGCCCCACAGGCTTACGAGGCCGCTAGGGACCACCAGCGGATGCGAGCCCGTCTTCACCCCGCCTCCTCCTCCCAGCCCCAGCGCACGGGCTACGCCTCCTCCTCCTCTCACGACACTTCCCAGCGTTGTTCCCCTTTCCGCGGTCGCCCCCGCCGTTCCACGCAGCAGGGCCGCCACTTCTCGCGCCGCTTCAGCGCGCTGGAGTATGGTGAGTGTTGCCCCACTGTCACCTGAGGGCGACCACAGCGACGACCTCGATCTCTGCGAGGCCGTCCACTATCACTTGGAGGACTCTACCCTCCCTGCTGCTGAGTGCCTTCAGCTCGCGCTCTTCGCCCTCTCTCGGGCACGCAGCCGCCCCGGTCACGCTGGCGCGTCGCCCCCCGAGGTTCCTCAGGAGGACCTCCCTCAAGGCTTCGTCCCTCCTCACGGTGTCCTTTCCGCTGAGGAGCGCGCAGCTATTTTGGGCCGACGTGGGTGTTTGCGCTGCCGCTTGGACGGTCATACCTCCTCGTGGTGCCCTTACACTACCGCCCTCGACCACCACTACGTTGACCTTTCTCGTCAGCGTCGTGCTCAGTCCCCCCCCGGCGCCTCACGTCCCCGCGGCGCCTCCTAGCCACGGTGCAGTGTACACTTGCGCCCTCCTCAGTAGTGAGTTTCCCGACATCTCCGTCGTGGTTCGCCCCTCTCGCTACTGGAGTTGAGGTATCGCAGGACTCAACAGAGAGTACTCAGCCTTCTGTCGCAGTACCGTCTGCGCCTCCGCAGACCACCGTCTCCCCTCCTTCCCCGCCGCGACTACCGACGCGTCGAGCCATTCGCTCAGCCCGTTGCAGCGAGCAGCTTGCTACTCGCGAGGACGTTGTGTCCTCTCTTCTGGACTTGAGCATGCTCCAGGCTCGTCAGGAGCGACTCACCCTCCATGTCGCTGCACTGCGTCGCCTTCTCGCCATCCTCTCTGACCCTGATCGCACCCTCCCGATCATCCCAGTACGACTCGGGACCTCCACGAGGGTGTACTCAGCGCTGTGGGATTTCGGTTCTCAGGGCGACTTCATTCACCCACGAGTGGTGAAGGAAGCCCACTTACCCACGACAGGGTCTCCGACTCCCATCTCCATTACCCTAGGGGATGACAAGACCCAGCGCTTATTCGATCAGACAGTCACCGACCTCCCCTTCTTCCTCACTCTCGAGCCGACTCATCGTTCCCCGACGTCTCGTCGCCACCGCTCCTCTGCACATTTCGATGTGATGGAGACGGGGTACGACTTCATTCTCGGCACTCCGTGGTCTCGTAGGTTCCGCAGCACCGAGGCCGATTGGGCGACCAACACTCTCGTTCTCAAAACAAAGTGTGGACAGACGTATCGCGTACCTTTCATAGGTACCACGGCGACACCACGCCCCGATCCTCCTCCCCCGGAGCCTTCATTGCCCACACCATCTCCCTCTATCACTGTCACCTCGCCTCGGCAGTTCGCTCACTTCATTCGACAGGACGACGTCACCTTCTTTATG